CGGCTTGTGTACTGCATCATTACTGTGTCTGTTCCCCTTTCGGGCTTGAACTGATGGTAAAACTAATGACATTATTTACTGTCTTTACATTTATTTTGAAAGATGAAGCTCACGATTATGGTAAGGGGCGTTACATTTCCGACGAGTGCTTGCGGTGTTCGGCCAATCACAATGCACTGGGTCAGCTGGCTAATCAGAGCAGACTGCGCTTGTCGGAAGGAGGGACTTTGTAGAAAACGAAGCGTTTGAGAGAGGCGGGGCATATAGGACCTACAATAATGTACAGTATTTGAAAAATAATGTGTTTTTTGAACATTAAAGCATGTCAACATATTCTGTTACACCAAATACACAAAATAATGATCTTTAAAAAAGCATCATATGACCCCTTTAACTAACTATATCATATTCATTAATATTCATTTAGAATATAGACAAACCTTATATTACTGTAATTGTCTAGATTGACAGTATGTTTAATCTGCCCTATATTAAACCATTCCTTTTTTGTTTTCTATTTAAAAAATAAAGAAATAAAAGCACATGAATCTATCAATTTACCACTTCTATAATTTAAAATGACATCAAATTATTTTCATGATTTGCTATCACAACTTTTCACAAATCTTTTGTAAAATCAGCTTAGATTCACAAATGTTGTTCAGATAACAATATTTAAAGTTTCTGTTGAATAATCTAAAATCTTCCTTTGTATCAACTCAAATTACTGTCTTGTATTGCTCCAGCATCACGTTATGTAAACTGCATTTATGACAAAGAATTAGACAGATGCAGATATCGTAACAATCTATCAATAAATGCACACACCTTGTCCTCTGCTTCTGGCGCTATCGCTGCGCCTCTGCAGACTGAAGAAAATGGTGAATAATGCTGACTAGAAGACAGGGAGGAGGCGAAACTTGCCACCATTTCCATATGAGTCTTTAAAGGAGACTGAAACCCCCTTAAAAGGGCCTAGTGAAGCCCCTGCATGAGACACATGTTTCGGTTGTTCTTTGTTGTCAGTCACTAATAATGTTACATCTGTCAACCTCTCTCAGCTTATGCAAAATTGCAGAAAATTTGGACATTGTGTGATCAAAAAAGTGTTTGAGGTGTGAAGAAAGAAAAAAAATACAACCAATATAACCAGAGAAGGTTGAGATGATGATATTTGCTATCATTATCTGTCATTACTCAAGGCCATCAAAGGGCATTGACTTTGACTTTGGTTACCTGCCCATTGTTTGATTTGATCCTGTCTGCTACCGAATGTTAAACCTTATGGCAAACATCGTTATAAATCTCGAAATACTATGTGTGAATGTAGCCAGAAAGATAGAGTGTTTTGCTAACCAGTAATATATCTACAGTATTTGAGAGCAGTCAAGCATGCAAAAAAAAAGAAGTTTCTTGTTAAATTTGTAGCCTAACTAGCGTCATACCACAAATACAGCCACACACCCACTGCCCACTTCACACACACAGCCTCAACATGCCACATTACACTGAATACACAGCATCTGAACCGGAGCTATAGTGATATAATTATCTTGTGTAATAACCAGTAATCCTCCTATTCATCATTCTGTTGGGTCTGTTAAACATCCTTTTCTGTTTGAATTTCATACTGAAAATTAAGCAACATGGGTGTGGGGGAGATGTGTGTCATAAAACTAGATGGTTGAGGGTATCCACAAATAAGTATACGTGATCTTATATTTACAATTAACATGTATGCATTTTGCCTTTCATTCATTTGAGAATATTCATTTACTAATTTACTTCATGTAACTTTATTTACTGAGATACTTTTGCCATACTTCTGAATGTATGACACTGTAAATTTCAGTCATACTATCAAATTGTTCATACTTATATCTTACTTTTTTTTTAGCTTGAAATCTTGTAGTCATTATTTGGTTTCCCAGTATTGAAAAGAGCAGCTTGAAGATTGTGCTAAAATCCTCCTTTTGTTTTTTGACGGTGGAAAGGCTGTCATATAGGTTTAGAACATCATGACGATGTGTCCGACTCTGTTCCTTGTTTTGTGTGTGTTTTGCTCCCCATGTGCCTTCCTTGCCCTTATTTGGTCCTTCCTGTTCCTGTCCCTGTTTAGTTCTATAATTTCCAGGTATTCCTTGTTATTAGTTATCCTCCTCACCTGTCTGCCCCTCGTTATCTACCCTATTTGAGTTCTAGCCTGTTCTTCTTCGTCTGGAATTGGATGTTATTAAAATCTATATGTTTGAATTCCACTCCTCGTCTCCTCGCTCCTTCGTCTCCTTGCTCCTCACAGTAGCGCAACATGACACGATGAGTATATGATGGAACGTTCAAATGAAGTAATTTAGTCAACTCTATCCATTTCCAGAAATCCAACCAAACATGTTTTGCATTCGATTCTTGATGTTTATCTGGCTGTTTTTTCTTTTTGATGCTCATCATAACTAAATAAATCTTAAAGTAGCTATTAGCATCAGACAAGAAGCAAATAAAACAATTATACTCCATTAGATGCTAAAATACTGTAGACTGCTATGATGTGAACGTCCCTGACACATCTAAATTCTTGTGTATGATATTCAGACATGTGCTGTGTGATAAAAGCCTAAGCATCTTTGTCCAGGGTACCAGTCATTTAAAAACTCACTGCTTGACATCAGAATGATGTTATTGCAATATTAGATCAAGCGAGTATATTCTTCAACTGTTAATGTTTGACCAAACAAGCCCATTTGAGACATCCTATCCGTGACAACCAAGCAAGCTTTCAACCTAGACATCTCTAAGTATCACTTTACAGTTGTGTATTGAAGAATTCTGTTTGCAGATGTTTTTGTAAAAAGAAAAAATGTAAAGCAGTCATATGTTATATTTTGTTGGACAACATTACAAATGATCCTCAACTGTTAACCAGTTTTTAAACAATCAGAAGTCTCAATGTACATTAAGGTGTGTGTTAGGGTGTGTTTTTGGGCAGTGAAATGGACATACTGTATACACAAAAAAATGTGTTCACTAAAAGTTAAACTACTTTTACTTTAGCGTAATGTTTGTAAAATGCTGTGTCATGCACAAGTTGCAAAACACAAGCACAACGGTCAAACACGTCTGTCTAGTGTATATTTAAATAGTGTTTGCTAAAACTCTTCATAATACTACTTTGTGCTGACATCACCACTAACAAATCTACCTCCCTCTGGTCAGCATATTTGCAGTGAAAGGTTTTGTTTATTTAGCATTCATCAGTTTTTAATTGGCTTTGCCAAATATTTATGAGGTAACAACTTTGACCTACACATTCAGAAAATGCTGCACAGGCCCATTTATGATGAATGTGTTTTATGAATGACTGCACAGCAGGAAGTGTTTATTGCTGGTTCTCTTGTGCAGTACGTTTAGTATTAGTGTTGAACTCCCTTTTCACACTCCCTTTGTGTTTGTTTCATTGTTGTCAGTATAAGGCCATTGATGTGTATATAGATGTAGATATTTTTCTCTTTTTTCTTATCAAAGATCACCTTTGGTCATGTTCAAAGGTTATGGAGCACTCCTCCACAATCAGTGGTGGAGGGAGAAACCCACAGTGACGTATAAGTACCTAGACACACACTAATGTCATCTGAAAAATCCAAACAGTGATTTGTAATTCAAGTCCTCTGGGCTTTGTAATGCCAAATGCAATGTGAGATAACTCTGAATTAAACTTTAAGGACATGCATTCAGAACTGTTTAAGGTAGATAATGTAGAGTATTGCATTTTTGTTTTGTTTTTTTGTGGCAAGATTAACCCTTGTTTTAGGTTGTATGTCAGTTTGACGTATTTAGATTTTTAGAGTTGTCTGTAATTCTAGGTAAATCATGGTTTTCTCCTTGACATTTTGTGACTTTTCTCATTTAGGGTCATGATAATGCCTGTAAAGTGTCGACACACTGACCTGTTGTGAAATATGCGTACAAAATTTATATTACAATTATTATGTTTGCTGTCAATTTGACCCGCATACTTACATGGTTAAAGGCAGCTGCACAGACCTGAAATAAGTTTCTCAACTACCCTCAGAGTGTATTTCTATTTACATTTATGCATGTTGCAGACACTTTTATCGAAAGAAACTTGACTGCATTGAAAGCATACATTTTTTATTAGTTCATGCATGTTCAGTTTGCTGAGAATCGAACCCATGACCTTGGCAGTACAAACAACATGCTCTACTGTTTGAGCTTCAGTAAAGCATGCAGAAGAAGTGTTGTTCCACACTTCTTTTAAAATGTTTAAAAATAGTTGCAGTACTGTTTATAAGATTCATAGTTTATGAAAACAAAATATTTATTTTTTGTAATGTTTGAGGACTAATAATATTAAATGTTTATTGATTTTATCTGATTCTTTTCTATTTTTCATAAAGTGATTTTTGATTAATTGTATTGAATCCAATTGCAGTCAGTTTATCCCCAACAATAACGATAAATACACATTTTTTAAAAGGGTTAGTTCACCCAAAAATGAAAATTCTGTCATTAATTACTCACCCTCATGTCATTCTAAACCGGTAAGACCTCCGTTCATCCTTGGAACACAAATTAAGATATTTTTGATGAATTCTGAGAGCTCTGAGAGCTCTTTGACCCTCCCATAGACAGCAAGGGTACTACCACGATCAACTTCCAGAAACGTAGCAAGGAGATCGTTAAAATAATCCATGTGACATCAGGGGTTCAATTGTAATTTTACGAAGCTACGAGAATACTTTTTGTATGCAAAGAAAACAAAAATAATGACTTTATTCAACAATGTCTCCTCCGCGTCACCCTGGTGCCATTTTGGAGAATATCCACTGAACGCAAACAGCGTGAGCTATTCTGTGTCGCATGACGCAGCTGACACAGAATAGCTTACGCTGTTTACCAGGGTGACGCGGAGGAGACGAATTGTTGAATAAAGTCGTTATTTTTGTTTTCTTTGCGTACAAAAAGTATTCTCATAGCTTCGTAAAATTACAGTTGAACCCTTGATGTCACATGGATAATTTTACCGATCTCCTTGCTACGTTTCTGGACTTTGATCGTGGTAATTACATTGCTGTCTATGGGAGGGTCAGCGAGTTCTCCGAATTCATCAAAAATATCTTAATTTCTGTTCCGAAGATGAACGGAGGTCCTCCCAATTTAGAACGACATGAGGGTGAGTAATTAATGACAGAATTTTCATTTTTGGGTGAACTAACCCTTTAACCTAATACAAGGGTTCAAGGTGTTCTCTCTTTTCTCTGTTTAATTCTGTATTATTGTTGGTTACTGTCTCTTTCTCAGCTCAGATGGTGCTCTATCGGAGGCTGTGACCGTGCAGGTCGGCCATGCTGAGACGCTGTTACCCCTCCTCACCCTGCTGGATCTGTTCAAGGATGATATCCCTCTCAGCTCAACTAACTTTGCAACCCAGAAGAACAGAATATTTAGAAGTGGGAACATTGTGCCATACGCTGCCAACCTGCTGGTAGTGCTGTATAAATGCCCGGAGGGGATTAGAATGGGTGCGCGACTCAATGAGAAATCTTTGACCTTGCCTGGACTCGCCGACCCCGTCCCAATGTATGAGGATGTGAAGAAACGCTACCGTGCTCTGCTGGAGGGTTGTGACCAAGAGACTGTGTGTAAAATTAACAATTCCTGAACATAAAAGTACAACACATCACAAAGGCCAGCTGACTGACATTTTCATAGAAGCAACAACCAGCATAAAAAGTTTAAATAGGTTATACAACATTTTATTGTTGATAGAACAGTAAATGAAAGAAAATATTTTTACATATTAATTATATACAGTATATCCAAATATGACCCCACAGTATTACTTTCTAATGTTATGGACCTGTAAGAGACCTCAAATTCCAGAGCTGACAAATCAGCTCTGACCAACCATCCAATCAAATAACTATATTTGACATTTCACACATACTGTATTTCTAAGCAATGAACTTTCGACTGTACTTTGATTACATGACTGAATTGTAACTTGCTGGTTTTGGTAAAGAGTCCTGAGGCCTCTGTTGCTTACTTATATAGTATTTCTGTTAATGTTTTAGTCAGTTGTGTATGTATGTATATATATATATATATATATATATATATATATATAAAATCTTTTCAGACCAAAGCTTATTTTATATATCCAATATCTAATATAATATCTATTATAATTTTATTCGAAGACTGTGTGTGTGTGTGTGTGTGTGTGTGTGTGTGTGTGTGTGTGTGTGTGTGTAAAAACATTTCAAATTCAGCAAATTTAATTTCCATGCAATCTTGTTCTTACGAAATTAATGAAGGTTAATAAAATGTGAATATGCTTTTTTTTGTAGTTATGCTCTAAAATATCTAGACTAGAATTACTCGGTGAATTCAATTACTTAACGTTTTAACTTTTTTTCTTTTTTTTTTTTTACCGTTAATCAGGAAGGGCTGGAAATGTCATGGAAACTCATTGGACAAAAGGTGTGGGAACCTTGAAATTATTTTATATGTGGTATGATTTGTCAGTTTGTTACGCAAGTACAATAAACTGGACCTTATGAGCAAACTTGATTCCAAGTTGAAAGTTTCTTATGATAGATAGATAGATAGATAGATAGATAGATAGATAGAAATAAACTGGATTAGGCAAAGGTAGGCGACCGCCTTGGGCCCCCAAAAGCCAAGGGCCCCCTAAAATGCTTTTTATATGCGAGATGCGTGTTTAGTGCGGACGCACAAGTGGTTGCTCTGGTGTTCATTAGCACGACAACCGTCTGTGCGTCCGCGTTGAACGTGCTTCTTCGCAAAAGTAGGGCGATGTAGAAAATGGGGACGGAATCCCTGAATCTATTCATAAAAAAATTTACTGTGTAACGCGGAATGAACGGCGCACACCCGCGTTTCGTTTGCTATTGAAGCACGCGCAACGCTCGCGGTTGTCGTCTGTAGTAGCTAAATAGTATTTTTTCCATTTAATATTCACATACACTAGTCCATATCGCGGTTTGATTGAAGTGTACTGAATTGCATTTGATTTATTCATTCAATATTTGACGAATTCCGTGACATTGCTCGTTACACAGTAAACTTCTGTTGTGTAGCATTTTGAATGTACAAAAATTAAAGGGTTTGTTTAATTTTCATT